GAAAGCGGATATGCAGCCATTTGTGGAGCGAATACCGGCATGGTCGGCTTCCTCTTTCGAACATCATCACTCACGCTCAAACGTGGGTTTTCTACTATGGTCGAGTGTTACAACGGCAGTGATTGAAGAAAGGGCAAGCATGTAAAATGCTGCCAAAACGGAAGATCCACGAAAAGAAGCGAATCTTGTTTGTCGACTGGTGTTTAATAATTTCAGACCAAGCACTGGAATGGCTATAGAGTTAGACAAGTTACAAGCATAGTAATTTCTTTTGTCTAAGTTTAAGTACATTATGGTCATCTGTTTCGATATTTTTTAAATGGTTTTGAATCAGGTACAAGCAAATTGGAAAGCATCTAAACGTAATAGTCCAGGATTTTTGAAAAGAACCCATTTTAGTAAACTTTTATATTATCTAGATCAACTTTCATATTAATAATATTATCTAGATCAATGCTCAAAAAGTGCATTGTATCAGCATTGTATCAAAACAATTAGGAAGTCTCAGTTTTGAAAGAAAGTTCGAATAGCAAGCTAACGCAAAAGAAGCCAAAACTTGGCAACTACTGTAACCGTTAGAATTGAAAGTGTTGACTGAGAGTACCGGGAGAAGGGGAATCGTGACTGCTTTTAAAAAAAGTCATTCAGAAAGAACCATCACTATTAAGAAACATGAAACGTCAGATCGTTGAATTGATCACGTTTTCTCTGCCCTTATCTTTTTTGATGCGTCAGCCTTCATTTCATCGTTTTTTCTAAAAACTTCTCCTATCAAAATGGGTCAACAACACAGCAACAATAAAGCTACAACCGGATTTCCATTTCTCTGGCTTCCTAACGAACTTTCTGGCTTAATTTTGAATAAGATCGAGCCAAGATTGGCTATTCGGCTTCTGCGAGTCAATCACTATTTTCGAGGATATTTTCTCACGAATGGACCTTTCCCGATCCATGTCGAATATCTAGAATTTAATCTATTCGATTGTAAAATTGGAATCGTGTTGGCAGATCCATTCCAAATCAATGACATCAATGTTGCGACTGAGCTGCGGTACACATTCACTAAAATCCCACTGAATATATTCGAGCGGATCACTACATGTCGTTTTTTGTCATTTGTTGCCAATTCAAGACATGTTTTGAAGGGAAATCGGGACGAGATTTCTCAATTGATGATAAGTTCCTTAAAGAATCTTCGTTTGGTACAAAATCTCAGTCTCTCCTCGAGGTCGATCGAGAATCTTCAAAAGTTCGTCTCAAACATAGACTTTGAAATCGGCAATTCTGTCACACTCGCATCACTAGGAGCATTTGATAACGAGCCGATAATCGATTTCATTGAATCAGACCTCAATCAAAGCGATTTCATCATTCTACGCACTTGCAAAATGGAACATTCCGAGTTGGTTCGATTGTTGTCAATCAGTAGCCTCAAAAGGTTGAGAATCGATCTGATTGATACATTTTTCGAGAGATTCCCAATAATTGTCAATAAGATCCTCGATAGAGGTTTACCCATTGAGAGAAAGGATTTCACATTGAATCTTTACAAAGTCGATATGTCATCGAACAGACGAGGTCCTCCATTCAATTTGATCTTCAAAACTTTTGGAAATCGAGCTAATTTGTTGAGAGGCGATGATCTTGAAGGAATTTCATTTCAATTTGACTCTCATCGAAAAAAACGAATGAGAAAAGTGAAAAAAGTTAAAGAAGCTGGCTATCGTCAGAAGGTTTCCTACGAATTGACATTACTCTATTTCGTGTCGTGGACAAAAGTGGAGTACAAAGAATCATCGAATGTCACCCGTGCTAATCACCTCAATATCTATGTAAAGTATGAATAAAGATTTTTGAAGAATTGTTTGAGAAGAGCGTGGAAGCTAGAAGTTCTTTTGATTTTATTTGTTCGAACTTATAAAGTCTATCAATCAAAACAAGCAAATAATTACACACATTTTAGCAGTTTCAACTTCTCTAAATTGCGTCAATCGAAAGAATTCTGCTGAAAGAGGTCAATGCGGGAAAGAGTCTCTTCGTTTGATGAACCCTTCAAAAGCTCATTTCAATTTGACATTTCAATTAAGCAAAGCGATAAGAATTCGATTTTGGTTGACTCGACAAAAGCTTTATTTTTTTGTTTTTTTCTCATTCCACTCAACTTGCAAATATCTTGTCCCGATGGTTATATTTACGAATCTGGTATTGAGACATGTCTTGGACGAGCCTCCGTTGAGAGTATGTCCATTAGGGTGTATTCCTCAATCATTTTTGAACGAAACGTTCATAAACGCATAAGCCTGATTCCGACACGTTATCCGCCACAGTAACCCTTTCTTTGACGCGCGCGCGCAAGCGTTGTAGGAGATGCCAAAAAATTGTTTGCCAAATTCCTTGCGATTTCGACCTATCTTGCAAAAACGGACAGCAGATTCAGAGCCGGCGTCAAATTCTGCATCGGATGGTCTAGGTCTCATTTCTATTGGCCACCTTGATTTCATGACCTTCCTTTGTTAACAAAATAATTGTCTTTATGCCATAACTAATTTTAATTTTTATATCAAATTTTCCTCCACAATGGAACTTATAGACCGACCTGAAATTAGTTTTTTGCAATAATAATATTAATATTTATTAAATTAATATTTAAATTAATATTAGCAATTAGTATTATGTTTTAAATTTTTAACAAAATAACTGTTTAAGGCGATAGAAAATGGCGGCCATTTGCGGCCAGGCGTCGGCTTTAACCATCGAGCCCCCTGGATTGATTGGACCTGAAATGTTATCTAAATAAAATTGAAATGGGAAAATTAACCCCTGGAAGGATTGATAGACAGGCAAATAGCAGCAAAATATGCTGTTTGCACATTATTAGGTTTCTTAAATGAACAAAAAATAAACTGAGGACTCCTGATTAGGGCCACTGCACGAAATGTATGGAATTTATGGGCAGATTTTCTTGAAGGAGATGAGAGCTTGGAAGATGAGCCGCATGGATATCGTCCAGTTGTCCTCGATAGTGCGGAGTTGCTGGAGATTGTCGAGTCGGATCCAACTGAAACTTTTCCCGAATTAGCCGAATACTTTAAATGTGATCCGAGCACAATTTATCGACACCTTTCGCTCATTGGAAAAAGGAATCGTTGTAGCCAATGGGTCCCACATGAATTGTCCCCTGAAAACAAAGCCAATCGAGTTTTATTGTCTTGGATCTTATTGAAAAAGGCTAGGGATAGTGCTTTTTTTGAAAGCATGTTGACTCGTCTCCTTTAATTCAATTGTCGGTTCATGTGAAAATTGCTCAACTGTGAGCTCAAAATTCCGAGTCGGTCGGCTATTTGAATAAGGAGTGTGTTTTTAGTTGAAGAGGGTTAGAATCAAAGGGGATCAGATACCTCAAACAAGAAATAACTTGTCTTAAGTAAGGAGTACCAAGCACGCAAATAATATTTCTTTGAAATTTTTTTTAAGGCAACCACCTTTTTTATATTTTAATACTTCTAATTTTATTATAAAAAGAATAAAACTTTTGACGTTTTAGTTCAAAACGTGCTTTTAGTTCAAAAAGTTTGACATTCAGAGCGATGAAAATCATGAAAACATTTGCATACTTTGCAAAACTAGAACTACAAAAATTGATCTCGTAGGGTAATTTATTACACAAGTTCTGACTTTTATATTTATTTGAAATTCAAGATGTTCAACTTGTAGTGATTTAGTTCCATTGCTGAACTCTGATAACGACTTTCCGCTTTCACTTTCGGTTGGTAGGTCGAAATGAAGCTCAAATGAAAATGAACAGATGGAAATTATTTTTAAATAAACATTTAAAAAAGATTGAAATGTTTTATTCTTTGATTTAAAGCTAAGCTATTCAAAATGCTCTTTTCCTTTCTATTGTGAACAAAGATGGGTTCACTTTTGAGCTCTAAATGACGGTCGATTAGGAAATTTTGTAAATATGTTTTAAAAAGTCAAAAAATGTATTGTTGCATTGTTTGTATTGTTTTTAAAAGGAAATCCTTAGTGAAATGCAAATCATTTTAAAGTTTGACTGAAAAATTTACATTAAAAGTGGTCACCAAAATATTCACAAGTACCCAAAATAGTGTTACTCAAAAATCTGGTCAATATTTGAATGAAACCTTTCAATTGCTCACCAATTCTCGGGCATCAGTTGTAGACGTTGATCTATTTCAACTATAGGTACAATTTAAGTCAAAGTGATGTGAAGACATCAGAAGTTTATCTCCGAAGTACAAAAAATGGTACTTTAAAAGAAACTGTCGAATTTGTGACCAACAAAAAACTGAATTGAAGCAATAAAATTGGGTTCAGTGATTAATGAAGTGTTAAAAGAGACGAAAAAGGAACAACTGTTTCTTTTTCGCTTTTCGAAAGCCAGAGGAGCTTGTGTTACGAAACAAAAGAAAACCATATTCGACCACAAATGGAAAAAAAGATCTACCGTAAAAGCTGCAATAGTAGTTCGGGGGGGGGGGGTCCATTATATTTTCGTCCATTAGAGGGGGGCCATTATATTTTCGATAGTACTTTTTGTCATTCATTTGTATTGAAAGCAATGAAAAAGTAACAACTGTTTCTTTTTCGCTTTCTTTTCTCCTTAACGCGATATATGAAACAACTTTTACTGCTCATTTTAAAACAATAAAAGAGTACAAGCTAAAATACAATACTTTAGCAATAAAATAAACCCGGTGAATCTAGTCCAAATAGTGTCTTTTTGGCAAATCCCGAAAAAAATGTCATTTTCTCGTAATTCTTGTTCAAGGACTTTCATATGGTGTCACTATTTGATCTTTTCCTCAAAAGAAACAATAAAGAATTACGAAACAGACGAGTTAAGTATACACCGTATAATGTTAATGTTTGAGTAATCGTCATCAGCTTTTATTGTGTAAGAATCGATCAATTACATATAAAGCAATAAAAAAGTAATTTGGTCATAAAATAATTAATTAAACTGAGATTATTTATTCATTGGCGTCTTTCTTGCAAACGAATCTCGCATTAACATCGTCAGGCTCTTCCGAAACGTAGAGTTCATTGGCTGAAGGGACATTCGAGATATCGTTGCACATCTGAAAATGGAATTGAATTAAAATAGACGCTATCTTTTTATTTTAACGTTAATTATAGAAAAATTTCCATCAACAGATCTGTAGCAGTATACCAAACTACCAAGATGTTAGGAACACATCACTTGGAACATAGGTTCCAAGTGATGTGTCGTGGCCCATTCTCACGAAATAGAAAACAGAACTTGGTTGAATATCTTTATTTTCTCATATTAAGCCAAAAATATTCAGGGAACCTATGTTTTCTATTTTGAAATAGAAAATGGGCTCGATGACGTCTTCTGGACCAATCCTGCTAAGCAAGTTTACATTTTCTTATGGGCACTCCAGTCCTGTCAAGGCTGGATTCAAAGCTGGACTCATCTTGAGCCATGACTCTCACAAAAACGATAACTAACCATGTAGTAGAGAGTGTTCTTCGATCGATCTTGCCCAATATAATCATCCGGTGTCCCATCACTCCATTTTCTTCTCCCATTCACAAAATGGAGACCATTCCACGCATAGAAGTCTGATCCATAACAAGCATTGCTCTCCGTAGCGTCTTCATTTAATGATTTTACATCGAATTGGATTAGATCTAAAAATCATGATATTGGTCAAATGTCGGTCGTTAGTAAACTATTGAAGAGACCTTGAAAAATACAAGGCTCATTTGTTGCGAGATTCATTTATCATTCAACCCTCAACTGGCGGTTTTAAAACTTTGTTACTATAGAAATTAGTTCACTATTAATTACTATAGTGAACTAACCTACTGTGCTTACTAACGATATTTTATTGTATTTTTGTTACCGAAACCAAAATATTCAATTTTTACTCATTGAGATACAGGAAAGTCCGTTCGTTATCGAGCTTTGAAACTATTACAGGCAGAGTCTACGTTGAACAATTGGAACGAGTTAATCGAGCTCTGCGTGATCAAGGCACCGAGCCCTCAATTTTCAAGTACCTTATGGTCAATGCTCGTCCGCACCGGCAAAGATCACTCAAAAATCATTAAGAAGTTGGGATGGGAATCTCTCCCAGATCCGCCATATAGCTCGAGCTTAGCTCCATCAGATTTCCATTTGTTTCGTTCCATACAACATCAATCGGCAGACAAGAAGCTTAAGAACCTCAATGAGAACAAAATTTGGGTGACGCAGTATTTCAACTCGCAGCCGCGCACTTTCTTCGACAAGGGGCTCCGAGATTTAAAGATGGAGAAAGGTCATTGACAATAATGGTGAATATATTTTGGATTGATTGCGTTTTACGTTGAAAATAAATTGTTAACAAAGTTTGTTTAAAACGGACATTTCATGGTTGTCAACCTAATATTTGCTTGTTTTAAGACAAACCATTCACGAATTCGAACTCCTCCTTTGAGTGAATCGACACCAAATGTCCTCCCCAGTACACACAATTGTCTTCGGCGTTTTTCCAACGATATTTCACCACTTCCCCTTGGGCATCCTTTGTGAAACCCTATAATTTTAAGTAGATTAATTTGATTTATAAGTAACTTGATGATAATAGCACGAATCGGTTTCCTTCAAATAACTCCATCCGGAATCACATTTTGATGCGGTGGCCAAGCATTCCGTAAATCTTGCTTCCGATGAGGTTCTAGATTTAACGGTTGTAGATTTTGAAAAGTTTTGTTTTTGTAGAAATAAAACCCCATTTTCGCTTTACTTTGCTTCTTCCAAAACGTCTTTCGCGGCACGACAGCTTTCCAGAGTTCCATTGAGGATTTCCAAAGATTTACTCTCCGATGATCTGAATGATCAGCGTTGAATCTATTAAAAGTGCCTGAGAGCTTTTTTGTTTAATTGAAACGCTTTTGCTAAAAGTTTCTTTCAAATACAATTTTCTCCACTTACTTCTCCTCTTGTAGCACTTTGTTGTTCGCTTCACATGTTGTCAGCTTTGCTTTGAAAATTTCCGAAGCATTCCTTAACAAAAGAAATTTTTAGCTATTTTTATTGAAATGCTTTACTTCGCTTCTTCCAAAACGTCCTTCTCGGCACGACAGCTTTCCAGAGTTCCGTTGAGGATTTCCAAAGATTGACTCTCCGATGACCTGAATGATCAGCGTTGAATTTATTAAAAGTGCCTGAGAGCTTTTTTTTAATTGAAACAATTTTGCTGAAAGTTTTATTCAAATTCTACAGTTGTGATCCGATTTTAATAAAGCTTTGAAAAGAAACTTTCTGTACTCACCTGCCCTCTTTCAACGCTTTGTTTTTGGCATCACAGGTGGCTAGATTTGTCTTGATAGCCTCGAAAGCATCTCTCAAAAAAAAGTGATCACAAAACGACTAAAAACAAACTTTTCCTCTTCCAGCTTCGTGTTCGCTGTTGTCCTGAAAGAAAAAAATCTTTTCAATTGTCTTCAACGAAAAACTCACAAATTCGCTCGACAAAGCGTCAGCATTGGCGAATCGTCCGTTTTGGATGAGTTTCTAGAGAATTTTAATATTGAAAACTCTTGAATATTTCTTGGCATATGGGGCATATTCATGGCATATTGAAAACTCTTGAATATTTCTGACAACGCTCTGATCAATCGTCTTTTGTGGCAGATTCTGTGATCCAGATCCACCACGTTGTGAGCTATTCGGTTGGAAAGAAAGTTCTCGGAAGAAGACTGTACTGTAATTTCTTAAAAACGAATCCACCAATTCAAGAACATTTTGTTCTATTATTTACAAGTCGAGTCCAAGAAATTACTAGTAAAAGATGAGTGCAACTTTCCCTTGAAATTTTAGAGATTTTTGAAAAATTATTATTTTCCAGCTTAAATGCAGCTCACTTTTTGCACGACAAAAACGATTCCTTATGAGGTAAAGCTAGCATAAATGAGCAATACGCTCAATAATCTCTATTTTTGGCCAAGACATTTTTTACAGAGAAGCTGTATTTCAAAAAATAACTTTTTAGTGTCATCTTCTTGGCACTAAGTCTTTGCTAAAACAAATCATTCTGAAAAGTTAAAGCATTAGATTGCCTTAAGCAAAATTTGCCTTAATCACAAATTTTCCCTATTTTAAGTACTTCATTTTAGGCTTTGAACGGAACCCATTGCCTATCCAGTAACCCATTAAAAGCTTATCTAAAGGCTGGTCACTCCAAAAGTGACCAAGTCACTTCAGCTGAAGAAATCTCTTATTTTTTTACTTAAAGCCTACTCTGATTTTTTATTGTTAAAAACTTTTTGAAATATAGTCAATTTTATCAAAAAATCTGAGAAGGATTCATGGCTTGTTTTTTGAGAAATCACCTTTTGAGAAACCTTTTTTGAGAAAAACTTTTTCCGAGAACTTTCTTTCCAACCTAAGATTTTAAAGCCGTTTTTCTCTACAACTGTACTGGCACTTTTACGCAACACTGTACCTTATTGTAATAAAAGCTGGTGTTTTACGTAATTTATGTGGATCAACTAAATACATTTCGTAAATCGCTGTAACGGCCAAGACTCCGATCACGATTCCAAAAAGCAACAGTAGAATTCCTCTGATGATGTTCAATCGACCGTTGGCGTGCTTGGTGCTGGAAAACTTGATACTATAGTTGATAACACCAGACATTTAAAAATCTAATTTGTTTCAAGTTTAACAAACAAGCTTCTAAACAGCTTCTACGATATGAGAACTGATTGTGAAAACTAACCTGTTTTCTGGCATCACCTCGACACGGTGCTCCATTCTTGATCGAGCCGGAGTTCAGCCTAAACATGATTAGCTAAAAACATTTAATAAAACAAAAGAATTGTGAAGTGATAATGTAGAAAGTATATGATTAATAAGCAGATTAATAAATGTGTTGAAGGATTTAAAAAGGTCAACTAAAATGAAATAAAATGTACATTTTAACCAAAAGTCTAGCGAATTGTGCTCTAGTAAAGGCCCTGGAGCTTAAGTATTGATAAAATCTTATAAAAACCTGCAAATTTTTAAGCAACGAATCCCATTAATTGTTGCATGTTAGTGGTTAAATGTCGAAAGAGTTTCAATGTTGAACATTGTTTTGAAGTTTTGAAGGGACTACTTGAGGGACAACTGCTTAAAGGTGAGTCAAAGATGAATCAAATGCAACGAGATCTGTTTTGGTTGCAAAATTGTTTCTGTAACTTTATAGAAATAATGCCTTCAGCAAGCATTTATTTAGTAAGTGTTTCAAATGTTGGCCACAATTTCATGACTTTACCGGTTTCTTGCAAACGATTCGCCATTTTTTATATCTGTTGAAAGAGATACACTGGTGGTCATATGTATGACAACACAAGACCCCAATCTCCTGTTGAAGAGCCCGTTCTATTTTACACTTGTCAGGTAAGATCGGTGATTAGATTTAGCCTCTCTAAACCGCTTTAACTTTTGAAAACTGCAGTAGTCTTGTCTCTAGTTTTACCCAATCTACACTGGTGGTCATATGTATTAGTACCCTCTTGCAAAAAATTTTCTCTCAACGATTGCCCCCCTTAAAAGGCAGCCAAATTCAAAGTGCTAAAAAGCATTTTTTTGCTAACAAGCTCTAGTCTCTAAAATCACAAAAAAAATTGATTCGAAATGTTTATTATCTTTTTAAAAAATAGCAAGGACGGAAAAGACACCTCAAAAATGGTGGACAAAAGTATTGACATCAACAAAAATGGTGGACAAAAGTATTGACAAAACAACAGTAAATTTAATAGTCTATTGGACCTCCTTTGGCTTGAATAACTTTTTCTATCCGTCTGGGCATCGAGTCGACCAAATTGTGCAAAACTGATGATTCAATTTGATTCCATACAAGACGTATTGAGGCCTTTTAAGGGGGGCAATCATTGAGAGAAAATTTTTTGCAAGAGGGTACTAATACATATGACCACCAGTGTATCTTTAATAGAGGCTTTGTCTCGCAGACCAAGGCTACAAACATTCCCTATCAAACGGTGTTCTTCTACTACTATTAGGTTGAGGAAAAAGTAATGTCGGTTTTTGTCACAAAATTGTTTATTGCTAATAACATAAAAAGACACACATCAATCAATGAGATATTCTCCATTATTATTGATGACTTGTTCCCATCTTTGTCGCAAGTCCCTGATCCCATCCTCAAAAAAATGGGAAGTTTTCGAGCCAAAATAAGTGTGGACTGCTTTTTTGATCTGTGCATGATTCTCGAACTTTTCTCCCATAAGAAAACTCTTCAACGACCGAAACAAAAAATAATCTGATGGAGCCAGGTCCGGACTATAAGGTGCGTGGGGCAGAAGTTCCCAACCAAGCTCGTCGATTTTTTGGTGAGTGATATTTGCAGTGTGAGTTTTTGCATTATCATGCAAAAATAGCACTTTTGATGTTTGAACGCCCAATTTCTTTAAAGCCTCGTTAACTCTCATCAACTGTTTTGAATAAAGATCCGCGGTGACAGTTTCTCTCGGATTCAACAACTCATAATACACCAAACCTTTTGTATTCCACCAATAAGAATAAGACTTTAAGGCTACTCAAATAATCGTAAAATAAAAAGTATTCTCTTTAAATTCTTTGTTCAGTGATCTGCGATGTTGTCGTTTGTGTGGGCGAGCCAGCTTCGTGGGATCTTGTGGGGTCATTTTTCGAAACTAAAATAAATTTATCACGCCACAACCCCCAATTTAATTGAGGAAATGCACAAGACGGGTAAAAAAATGTTTTCAAAAACTTCGCAATCACCTGGGAATTGAGTCAATTTGAGGCGGGGTTGCAATTATATTTTTGGAACCAAACTTGAATTTTTTATCGGGAAATCGACTAGTTGGTCTCAAAGTTTACAGCCAAATTCTTTTCAAAATGGATGCGCTCTCAATAATCCTCGATCTACACATTCTGACGACGATTCCCATTCAATGTCTTCTTATTTCGATCCTTTTATCTCATACTAAACATGATCGAATTTACGAGACGTGTTTGTTGAATATTTGTGGGTTAAAGACATATATGTCGTAGCTGATTTTAACTAAAAACGCTAAATGCTAATTTTCTATTTTTTTGAAATGCAAATCGGCTAGCTGATTTTAAACTAAATATCTCAATACTAACTTTCTCTTTTTAAATGCGAGTTCACTTTCACTGTTTTTCCACATGTTTGCTACTTCCCTTCGCACTTTCCCTAATAGGTTTTTTTGACTTTTGACTAACTTGAATGACTTAAAAAAAGAAAGAAAAAGACACTCGGGTCGGGATATTATGTGGAATGGACTTCGAGAATATCATGGAATCTCCAAAGAACTCATCGAAATTTTCATCATGTTATGCCCGGAATGCGAGCTCAAAAAAGAAACACAGAAAAAGGAAGTTATCGTGAAACCAATTGTTGCAAAAGAACAAAACGAACGATGCCAGGTGGATCTAATTGATTTGCAATCGATACCTGATGAAGACCAGGATCACTTAACGAAATTCATCAATTTGCGAGCTCTTAAGACGAAGACTGCTTTCGAAGTTGTTTGACGGAGATATTCGCAACTTTTGGTGCCCCACGAATCCTCCAATAGAATAATGGACGTGAATTCACTAACAAGCTATAGGCCATAGGCCGAATTGTCTTTTGTTTGATTTTTTCGTTTTGTTTTTATTCGTTAAATTTTTCTTATATATATCTTCTAATATATTCTTATATGAATTCAAATAAAAACCTTAAGTGAACTCCCATTTAAAAAGGGAAAGTTAGTATTGAGAAATTTAATTTTAAATCGGCTAGCCGATTTACATTTCAAAAAAATAGAAAATTAGCATTTAGCGATTTCAGTTAAAATCGGCTGAAAATCAAAATTGCCTACGAAATATATACTCTTGAATTTGAAACTATTTAAGTGCTAGCTAGACATGGGAAACAGCTAGACAGCTAGCTTACCATTACAGCCTCCTCCGTTTAGTAATCTGCGATCTGGTTGTCTGTCTGACCGAACTCTTAATGAAAGAACCCTCCCAATGGGGTTTTGTTTATCTATATCTACAAGGATTTATTCAAATCTTTGCCTGAATCTACTTTATCGTTCTTTTCTGTTTCACCTGTCAGGCGGTGCTATGGAATTTTGTGTTAGCCGTGTCAAGAATTGTCATGTTGTTGACATGGGATAGATTTAATGAGGTTATATGAAAAAATGGGGTGCTCTATAATTTTTACAGAGAGTGTATTAGAAAAAAGAACCAATAATCTAGCCGGTGGGATTGATGCATTTGGCGCATATTTTCGAAGCTGGGCCAGACCGGAAGTCCAGGTTCTGGCCGGGTTTCCGACCTGTTCTGACCTGTCGGGGTTTTATATCAGGCTTGGGCCTGGCTTTTCAATGACGTGGACCTGATTCGCTGGATCTAGGAGCCGGTTTGAACACTAGCCAACCTGTCACAACCAGGTTCGAGGTCAGACGGGCACATCTAGACTGATGGTCTGGTTCGAAGTGATATTCCGAGCCAAACCAGCCAGGCTAGAGCAAAACTGGTTTGGAAAAAGTACTTTCGTTGATCAGGAACTAGCCCTGGGCTTTTGACCTGGATCAGTATATCTTCAACCTGACTTGGCCGGACTTTGTAGTCAAAAAAGAAACCAGGCATATGCCCCATTTGGTTCCAGGACCTTTTTTGCCGAAAATCCACTTTTTGCTGCCATAACTTTCCGCTTACAGCCAATATTTTTTTGATCTGTTTTTCGGTGTAGAATCTACACAAAATTCTGCGTCTAATAGTACGAATTTGATCCAGTTTAGTCAAGTAACTTTTTAAGGTTGTAGAGTTAACGGTGTTTTTTCGAAAAACGCAACATATTTCCAAAGACGATTTGAAACCAAAAGATCGAGTTGAGCAAATGAGAGTGAATTAGTGCTGTTTGACGCAAAATTACACAGAGATTCCGACTCTGAAATCAGATTGGAATAATAATAGCTGTGGGGGAAAGTCATGGCAGCTCAAAGTGGGTTTTTCAGCGAACTGACAGTTACCTCGGACCCTGGCTTGTAACATTTCCTATTATTTTTTCGTCAAATCTTGGAACATGGAAAATCTTCAATTTTTTATTGTGAACTCACATTCGTTTACAGCTTCAGATTTCACTTATAGAAAAACAATAAACAGTTTTCGATTTGCTTTCATTTTTAGAGAAGCTTTTACGATTCTCGGTGTGTTTTAGAGATTAAAAATAAATAAAAGAGATCAAAGATTAGCAAAAAATTGCTAGAAATATCTACTATGAGCGAAATAAAAACCGATAAAAGTTTTGTTTTTTTGAAATTTGAAATGTTCAAATATTGTCTGGTATTTTTTCTTTAGCTCTTGTCTGGTTGCCAATCTAGATTCATATAAGGTTTGATTTATTCAAAAATCCCATTTTCTAGACTATTTTATATAAACTTTTAAAATAACTAGAAACCAACTTTAAACTATTTTCGCAAAGAACATTCAAACTTGCACAAATGAGAACTAAGATGGAAAGTGTCCACAGGGTCGCTTCTGTATTAATATCATTGGTGCAGTTCTCAATGAATTTCCTCTCGGTCGGCCTGCTTCGATCGCTCACCACTTCTTTCGTTTTCGATCTCTAAAAAAGAAACTTTAGTACATGGAACTAGAATGTTTAAGCAACATAATACAAAAAAAACAAAATAGAAAAATATTGATTCGCAACTGAATATGAAACAAAAGCAAAAAAAAGTTGGATGTTTATGGGACAACCTAATAAAAAG